TAAGATGAGTGAACAAGGCGGAAGATATTATTTTTAGCTGAAAGCACTTTTTTTTATTGATTGTTTATTGGTAACTCCCTCACTCATATGCTAGCTTCCTTGAGCATCTGACAGAAAGAGACAATCAAATGATCATTGCAGAATGAATGGACCTCTCAAGTCAAGGACTTTGTGAACTTTTTCTAGGAAAGAGCATGAGCAAATTAGGTTGGATTGATCCAGCCATGTCTGCTGCTTGGTCCATGTTGTTATAAAGTTCTGGGATGGTGGCTGAAAGCACTTTTGCAGAACACAAACTTAGGAACTGACACCTAGCAGTTTTGAGACTATGGAAAGTGCTTGGCTCAGGTTTTAATAAGAACCATCCGTCAATTATTTCTCATATTCTTACTATCCCAAAGTTGTTACTGTTGTGTTAGGCACCATGGATCTAGAAATAAAATACAGTTCCTGCCTTTAAGCAGGCTATTACCTGTTGAGGGAGCTAGACAAGGAAGCCAATTATTAAAACAAAAAGATTCAAGTGCGAGCTAAAAGAATAATATCATGCTGGGCGGTGGTGGCACACGCCTTTAATTCCAGCACTCGGGAGGCAGAGGTAGGTGGATCTCTGTGAGTTCGAGGCCATCCTGGTCTACAGAGCAAGTTCCAGGACAGGCTCCAAACCTACACAGAGAAACCCTGTCTCAAAAAACATATATATAATCTGTTTTAGGTACATGAAGGAAGGACACCAGCTCAGCCTAATGGGAAGCGAGGGAAGCTTGCAGATGGAAGTTGATATATTAATCTAAGTTTTGAATATACAGTTTTAATGGACTTTGGGAAAGAATGGACTGCTGTGGGATGTTCTGTATGGCAAATGTGTTGTTCTGATTGGTCAATAAATAAAACACTGGTTGGCCAGTGGCTAGATAGGAAGTATAGGTGGGACTAACAGAGAGGTATAGATTTATGGAAATGGATTAATTTAAGCTATAAGAACAGTTAGCAAGAAGCCTGCCACGGCCATACAGTTTGTAAGCAATATAAGTCTCTGTGTTTATTCGGTTGAGTCTGAGTGGCTGTGGGACTGGCGGGTGACAAAGATTTGTCCTGACTGTGGACAAGGCAGGAAAACTCTAGCTACAATGGACAGTATTCTAGGCAGAAGCAGAGACACACCCAGAGATAGAAAGGATTGTAAACATGGTATACTTTATGGGTTTCAGGTTGTTTGATGTCTGGAAGAGACGCTGCCTGTTGGGGGAAACAGGAAATGACACCAGCAAGCAGGCAAGGTCACTCACTCATCACAGCACTTTCTTGTGAATTTGGAGATGAACGATGGGTGGCTGTGATGAATTTAAAGAGTAGAAATGGTGCTTGCATTTTCAGTAGTTCCAGAAACAGAAAGCAAAGTGATGCAAAGGAGGACGAGGCCAGAGACCGCAATGAAGAAGTTAGGACGGATGTGGAAAATGGTGAGGTTCTAAAAGGCAGGTGTGGAGGATGAGCGGAGGATTGGAGAACCTAAACCCTTGTAGCCATCGAAGTACAGTTATGAATCAGGAAAATAAATCCATTCTCCTCAGGATCAGCATAGAGAATTTAAAAACCAGCCTGAGTGCACAAATTCTACACATGAAAGGCTGTATTTTAACTTAGTAGAAAATGTATGGAATGTTTAAGAAAAGGTATCATTTAGACACGTATGTTTGTTTTCTACCCAATAACAACAACCTCACAGTTTAGGCTATTTGAGTATATTTGTGGTTCTATAGGTCAGAAATCTAATCAAGGAGTTAGTGGTTCATTCCTCACTGGATCTTCCAGGTAAGCATCCATTTCCATGACTTTTCTAGTTTCTAAAAGCTCCCGTCATCCCTTGGGCCTTGGCACCTCTTCCGGCTCCAGCGCTGACAGCATTGCATTGGGCCAATCTTTCTGTTGTCACATTTCTGTGACCAAGGCCAGCATAGGAGTTCTACTTCTGTGGACTCATAATTAGGTTGCCCCTCCTCAAGTAATTCTGAACAACCTCCTTCCTCATCCTTAAATACAGCTTTAATCACATCTGGAAAAATCTCTCATATCAAGTGAGATAACAAGTCCATAGGCCTGGGGTTTGAGGCGTTGACAGCTTAGTAGCACTGTTAGTTTGACCATGAATAGGCTAAAACAAACAAACACATCAGTTTAGAGCCCTTCCTTACATTATAAAGAATAAATTGATGATGATTCAAGTTTCTTAACATGGATGTTAACAAAACTACCAAGACAAGAAAAAAAGACTGAGAACCTGTTTTATGATAATACCCATAATAGTTAAAGTATCCTCAGCATATAAAAACATCTATATGAGAAAAAAAAAACTAGTTAGAAAAAAATGGACAAAAGATAAAACAGATGATCTAGAGAAGAAATAAATGTAACCAATAAACAGAAGGGGAGTTAAATTTCAGCTCTCATGGAATATAATTAAGAATTCATACAGATACAGTAGGTCTTTAAATAATAACAAGAGGTTCATGAAATATATTCAGAATAATAGTTCCCTTGGGACTGAGGTAGAGAGGAACTTTAATTGGAAACATTAATATTATTGATAAATATTTTTGTTTCTCAAATGGAGTAATAAGCTCAGTGATGTCCATTTTAATTTTAAATGGCATGAACATGTGTTATAGTTAGTTTGTCACATTGACATAAGCCAGAGTCACCTGGAAAGAGTGTCTCCGTGAGAATCGTCTGCGTCAGACTGGACTGTGGGAGTGTCTGTGTGTGTGGTGGCTTATCTTGATGGCAGTAATTGTGTCAGGAAGAGCTGCCCACTGCGGGCAGCAACATTCCCTGGGCAGGGGATCCTGGACTGTGTAGCAGTGGAAAGAGTGAGTTCCACTCCAGCATGCATGATTTGCTGTTCTCTGTGCTTGACTGCGGATGTGATGTGACTAGCAGCTTCCAGCCCCCTCCACTTGGCCTTCCTCACCATGGTCTGATGGACTGTGAGTCTGTTACAGCCTCCTCCTTCCACCTTGAACTTCCCACAGTGAACTGTTGCTAAAATAATCCCTTCTCCCTTAAGTTGCTCTTGTCAGGATATTTTATCACAGCCACAAGAAAATAAACTGAGACAATATAAATATTGTCTTTATTTTTCTTTGTGTATTCAAAGTTTGATGTTTCTACATGGAAAAACAGGTTTTAAAGCTCATTTTGAAACTACTTACTAGAAATGATTTAAGCATACAGAAAAGTTGCAGGAGGATGAAAAAGAAATCTCATAGATTTAATTGTGTAATAATGTTCTTTTTGGGCGGGGGGGGGATCCATTCCTGGTTCATGTTTTATATCCAGGTGATATATTTTTCTAGCCTCCTTTACTTTCAAATACCAACATGAAGTCTGTTAAGACTAAAGGGAGTTTTCTCTAGGAGCTCAGAGAAGCCAGGGACCAGCCTCACTGGACTCAGAGAGCGAGCTTTCGGAGTTTTAAGGAGGTGAACTGGCTAGACGAGGAGGGCTGTATGAGGAAGGGAGGAAAACCAGCTGATGGACATGGGGGACCTGGAGAGGATGAGCCGGAACGGTGACGATGCCACCATGGTCGAGAATCAAGGACACTACCACACAACAGTGGTCAAGGCCTCGTTCGGGGCTTCTTCATTTTAGGTTTCACAGATGCCACCCAAAGCTAAAGGGCCATTTCCACCACGGTGCTCAGTTCAGTGCACACGGAGTTCACACCAATCAAAGTCAGGACAAATCACCGCCACCTTCACTTTCGAGTCTCGTCATCTCTGGATGTTGGTGGCAAGGTTTTACATCGAAAACTTTGAAGTTTCGTTTCAAGATTATGAAAGCAGTGCCATGTTTTGCTGCAGACATCAATTCCTCCGGTGTCTCTGGAAACAACAGAACGGGCGGCAAGCCTTTGTAACGCGAAGGTCCCGATGCACGAGGTTTCATACAGATGCAGTTTACCCTAACTGACTCCTCAGTCTTCACCATCAGAGCTAATCATGTTGTTAAGGCCTGAGCCCTGAACTTGCAGACACTTTCATTAGGCTGTAAGCTTTCTATCTCATGATTTTATCCTCTCCAACTTTGAACTTCATGTTAAAGCCAAAATTGCTTCCTCCTACCGATGTTTCCATGCCCACATACTCCCTCTAAGACGGCAAGTGACTCATTTGCAGAATTTACATTACTAAAAATTTAGTTTCAAACCTTCATCCAAATAGTGGTCCCTTCTTTTTTCTTTTTCTGTGTCTGTAGGTTTGTGTGTGTGTGTTTGTGTGTGTGTACATGTATGCACAAATATGTAGCAGCCAGAAGACAACCTCAGGAGTCATTCCTCAGGAATCACCCAGTTTGATTTTTCCTTTTTTTGTTGTTTCTTGTTTTTTTTGAGGCAAGGTCTCCCATTGGCAAGGGCTCTCCCATTCAGTTAGGCTGGCTCATCATAGGACCCACCCCCACCCCCCAGGGATCCATTTGTCTACACTTCCCCAGTGCTAGCTCACCACCTGATTTTTTATCCAAGGAGAAATGTTGCATGGATAAAGAGGGGCTGACCTCTCATCCTGTCAGGACCGGAGTTTCTGTGATAAGAACTACCTCTTCTGACACTGGCACCCAGAAGACAGGCATGTCCGTTTCCTCTGTCGCGGCTCCTCTAGTATTCCTTACTCGTGAACAACGGCAATGGTGTACAGAGCAAACAGGACCAGCTTCTTTGTCTGTTCCTCTTTCCCTCCTCCCTTTTTTTATCAAATGACATCAAGGTGCTAGATGCTTACACGTTAGATTCTCAGCAATAAAGAGTCTGTCTGCTTCAAAGGCTTAGACAGACGCGGGTTTGGGGGGCAGGGTGAATCCATAGCTTCCCCATCCTTTTTTGCCTCTTAACCAAGATTCCAGCTCTTGCCTGTCTGATTCTCTCAACCACTAGATTATGGAAAACTAGATCTTTGAAATAAGAAAGGGAAGTAAAGTCTTCATATATACTCATTTTATTTGGGAATAAAATGGTGCCCCATATTTAGAATGAGAGAAAGGGATGCTTTGTTGTAATGACAATGAAGGCCATTAAGGCTGGGAACAAGTTGGTCTCAGCGCTCGTCTGTGCCTGTCTTCACAGTGGCGTTACCAGATTTCCTCCAGTTGGTAACTGCTGGTCCAGATCCTTTCCTGTGGACCCTTACACATAAGAATAAATATTAGAATAGTCTTCAAATCTGTTTGATAACAGGTCTATGAAAAGCAATAACCAGAGGAGGGGCAGATTACCTCAAAACTCTGAAAAGATCCATTCAAAGCTTCTCTACTGAAAATGCACTGGCTTATCCAAAGTAATAAAGAAGTATATATAAAATTTAATAGTCATCGGTATAAAAGGCCATAATACTTGAGACGTAAGACTGTGTTGATAATGTTAAGTTAAATTGATAACCCAAGCCAGGAAAGTGGCACAAGGCTAAACTCACACTTATGAGTCTTCTGTTTAGTAAGTCTATAAATGTTTAACACGATGAATAAAAGCAGTATGCATTACAGCAGCTTTGTTTGGCTGCATTTGGGCAAACAAGAGCTCAAGGTTCCCTCGAGGTCTTCCTCACTGTTCCAACACTGGTTCTGTCTCCTCTTGAGCCTGAGTTCCTCCTGATGCCCTGGCGACGTCTTCAGGCGAGGCTCTCGTCTCGTGCTGAGGCAGTGAGAGGGGAAAGAGAACCAGGATGAACATGAGGAGATAAGGTGGCACCATGTCAGCGCCTGCCCTGACATATTGGGACGGCCACGGCGTCCCTCCAGACACGGAGAGACATACCTGAAGAAACAGAAAGGAAAAGGCAGACGCAGAGCAGCGGAGAGCATGAACTTTGACCTTTAGCGGATTTGGGTTTCACTTCTGGCGGACTTTGGACAAGCTCACTAAACCTGCTTAGCTTCGGCTCCCTTCGGCAGTAAATGAAGGTAACAGTGGTACTATCTTCTAGAGTTTATTATGTCACATTCGATACCATATGCAAACACTCCACAGACAGTGAGCATTCAGGAAGCCAGCTAATAATACACCACTGATGCTATCAATATAAAAATGTTTGTTTAAAAAACACAATGTAGCTTTAGTAGCGAGTGCTTCCACATCCTTTATTATTCAGTAATGACCTTGAACCGAAAAGGCTGTATTGGCTTCAGCTTGTCAGCTGAGGAGAGTCGGGTGTTAGACAAAATGGTAATGTCTGTCTTTGATGACCAGAGCCATTTCATTTGGTCCCTCTCTGTCTCTCTGTCTCTGTCTGTCTACCCCGGCCCCACCCCCATTCTGTCTACCTCTCTCTTCTCTATTTCTCCCTCCTCTCTTATTTTATTATTTCTTTCTTCATCCCTCCCTCCTCTCCCCTCTCTTTTTTCTTATTTATTATTTTTATGTGTGTATGACATGGGGGACACCCATTTGGCACAGCACACACGTAGAGGTCAGAGGACAAGCTCGGCTCTCAGTCCTCAACTTCTACTTTGTTCAAGGCGCAGTCTCTTGCTCGCCACAGCCTGGCTGGTGCCTTAGCTCCAGGAGACCCTCCTGACTCAGCCGCCCATCCCAAAGTAGATGAGCTGGGATAAAATCTCAGCTGCAGTATTCAGCTTTACATGCATTCCGAGGATCTGAACTCTTGCCCTTATGCTCCCTTTAGCTACTGAGCCTCTTACAGACACTAGGGAGGTGTCCTGTCACTGAGCTACACATGCTAGCAAAATCATACTTGTTGTTATGTTTAGTTTTCGTGGCAGGATCTCACGATTTTGCCCATGCTGGTCTCAAACTGGTAGGTTCAAGAGATTTTCCTGCCTCAGCCTCCCCAAGTAGCTGAGACTAAAAAGGACATTCTATTACATGCAGTACAAGATTTACTTTTCCCATAATTTAGGAGGTTGAGATAAGAGGAATTGCCATGAGACTAGCCTGGGCTACAGAGCAAATTGAAGCCAGCAAGGACGATACATAGGCAGACTCTGTTTCAAAAACAGAACAGACAAAGATGTGACTTTGTAGCTATGGAAAGCAAAGGATCGTTCAGAATCAAAGACAGTTCCTGAGATTCTGAGGATATAAGCAGATTCTAGTAGTGGGTTAACATACAGAGATGGGGAAAACCAAAAACAAAACAGCGTTGAGTCTTAGATATAGCAGTCATTACAAGGACCGAGAGAAGCTGATGAGAAGCCAATGGATATTTGAGGTTGGATCCTACACAGAAGTCTGGGCTAGAGAAACACATTTTGAACTAATTTCTATGGAGGTATATTCAAACCTAAGTATAGTTCTCAGTGTTGGTCCCAATTGTTTGGTTGTTTGGTGTGTGTGTGTGTGTGTGTGTGTGTGTGTGTGTGTGTGTGTGTGTGTGTGTGACACTAAAGATTGAACCCAAAACATGCTAGGTCTGTGTTCTACCACTGAACTGTATCCTGAGCTCTCTTTTTACTTTTGACTTTGACACAAGGTATCACTAAGTTGCCAGTCTGGCTTTGAATTCATTTTGCAGCCCAGGCAGGCCTTGAACTTGCAACTCTCCTTCTCTGACCTCGGGAGGAGTGGGGTTCCCATGCCTGGGTCACTAGACAGTCCATTCTCAAAGCTTCTCAGGAGATTCTAACATGCAGTGGAGGTAGAGAAACAATATCCAAGGGGGTGAAACAGTGTCACTCTTTAGAGACTCAGAAGAGGAGGGGAATGTGAGAGCCAAGGTTACATTTTAAGTTTTAATTTCTATGCCTTAGAGAACCATGAAACAAAAATGCCTCTGATCTGCAAGCCTCTTGCCCAAGGACAGATAGTTCCTGAAATGCTGGAGGCTATTGTTTATGCGAGATAACAAGTCACGTGTTTTCACTCCCCTAAACAAGTTTGTTTGGCCCATCTGCACCAGATGTGCTTGATCATGTGTGGGCAGGAAATATGTCAGAATGTATGCTTGGCCCTGATTGGACCTGATGGGAAATGCAATGGATTATGGGTTTTCCTTCTTAAGCCCTTGCCATACTTGATTCTGGGCCATTTCCCAGGAACCTGGGTATAGACCTGGCTGGAGCCCATCCACCTGGCCAGTATTTAATTAAAGCTTCCTTCAAATTAGTTTTAAACTGTGGTAGTGGTCTTATTCTTGATCGGTGGGATTAACATTTTCTGGAGTTCCCCCAGTGAGATTCAGACCACCCACCCAAGTGTTAAAGCTGGGCCTTTACTATGGAACTCTGGGCTGAGGGGCTGCTTCAGGAGGATTGTGCCTTGAGATGCATCAAGACTCTGAGGCTGCCTTCGGTTCCTGGACTATCGGAGTGAATTCCATGCTGAGAAATACAGCAAGCATCTAGGGAGGCCTCCTGGTGAGTCATAGTCTGGTTTTGTTCTGTGGGATCCTTATCTGGGGCATGGAGGGGGTTCAACGGGACTCTGATATTCTCCAGTCCAGGGCATATAGTGAGATGTCGCCTGGCCATCTGGTTCTGGTCGGAAAGTTTTGTTTGTCTTGTTGCAAAGTTTTGTTCATCTATTTCTAGAGACAGTTGTATCTGCTTGTTTTGTTGGTAACTTTTGTTTGTTGCGTTGTTTGCCTTGTTAGAAACTTTTGTCTGTTTGTTTCTCACTAGAGTCGTGGCTCCCTGTTTTGTTGGTAAGTTTTGTCTGTGTCTTCTGGTGTGTCCACAAGTTTTGTTGCAAGCATGGAGCTGAGACAGAAATGGATCAGATATTTTTTGCTGTCTCTGCTACTGACAGCAGCCAGTCACTTCCACTGCATTTATGGCCGGGGCTCAGAATCTCTGGTCTCTAGATTTTGGTTAGTAGGAGTTCAGGTGTCTTTTGGGTATGGGTAACATTAAAATTGTTTTATGCTATTCTTCTTTATTGGAAAGCTGGCTCTAGAGTTGGATTATGGCTCTCCCTTCACTAGACCCAGGCATATTTTAAAGTTTTCTCTATGTCCTGTGTCAATCTGGGTCACCTGACAGTGGGGGTGGGGGGAGAAAAGCAGAAGAGCCAAAAAATTAGACTTGGTTTATGCGAACATTCTGTACCTTGAGATTTATAAGCTTATTTTGTTGGATATGGTTTTTAAAAATCTGTAAAATCTAAAAAAAAAAAAAAATGTTAAAAGCCGGGAGTTGATAGTTAAAAATCTATGCATGGATAATTTTAAAGGAACCATGTGGCATGATTCCATTTTGGATTCCCACCATCTTTAGGCAGCCTCGTGTCTGTCAACCATCTTTGCTAGGGTTAGAGAAGACAGATGTCATGTGATTTCACCACCATCATGGTTAAAGGTAACCATGTGGAGTGGACCTGCCAAAGGGGCAACAACCAGTCTCCAAGGTATTTTGGATTAGGATGGATTTTTGTATGATAACCCATGTCCTATCCTGAAAACAAGATTTATGAAAGAGAGGATTTTTTTAAGAGTCACCCAGGTGTTAATGGTTTTAAAGACATGAAGGGATCATAGGGAACAGCTTAAGGTTTGCAAATGTGTGTCAGGGCTAGAGTTTCTAAAGAGAGCCCGGTTGCAATGGTGGACCTTAGCAGTTTTGGAAATGCCAGTGCCATGTGATAGTCACCAGAAGCACCAGCCACAATGAAATGGAGCAGACTGAAATCTAGAAGGCAGACTATGTATATGCTGCCTAGGGTGAGGCCAAAGAGATGATCCAAGCACTTTCCCATCACACAGAGATTAAACAAACAAATAAACAAAAAAAAATGCATCTAGCTCACCCAGGACTTGACCATTACCCCAGTTTTCTAAGGGTCCCCTAGAGAAGCCGTGGCCCCACTGGCAACAGGAAGCAGTCTAGAGAACATGATGCCCACATTCCCAAGAGGTGGAGTGAGTGGTTTCTGGTCATTTGGTGGATGTTTGTCATTGTTTAGGGAGGTTGGCTGCAAGTTGTTATTGGTCATGGTTAGGGAGGAAACAAAGGAGGTTAGATAGGGAACTTAGAAAACGGGGGAGGGTATAGGAAAGGGTAGAATATTGAATCTACTTTTAAAATAAAATTGATAAGATAAAAGGACAGATTATTGAATCTACTTTTAAACTAAATAAAAACAACTACTAGTCTCAAATATTTCACATTGATATAGATTTTTGTATACTGACACAAATTTAAGGTTATTTTTGTTATACTGTATATATGTTTCTACCTTGTTTAAGGTATTGTACCTATGCAGCTCATTTAAAAATGTAATGTATAATTAAGAAATATCAGTTAGTAGTCATCTATAGTAATCAAACTTGTAGTCATGTTAGGTCTGTTTTCAAAGGTAAGCCTAGATTTGTTCATAAGCTCAGATATGCTTAATAGATAATGGTCCCCAAACTTGCCAGAGATCTGATAAATATGGCATTTAAATTGTTTAATGGAAAAAACTTACTATGATGGACAGAGACTCCTAGATCTTAGCAGTGACCTCGAGGTCTCCAAAGAAGTTAACACCATGATGTCTCCACCTGGATGGTGGTAATGCTAACCACTGAGCAAGACTGCCCCAATGTAGCACCTGCCACCAGGCCCCAACCCAAACTGTGGACAAGCAAGACACTGGAGAGTTGATTGCCCCACCTGGCCTACACTTAAAAGCCTCTCACCATCTGGGCCTGGCAGTCAAAGACTGACACTGTCCTGGTACCTCTGCCCTCGATGCCATGGAGACCACAGGAACCTGGGATGACCATCTACATAATAGACTATTTTCTGTCATTTTAATTGATACACAGGCCATTTGATTTGGATTACACTTCATGCTGTAATTTGTCCTCCTCAGATCTCTGATGGTATTGACAGCTAGGCTAACTGTAGCTTTGTCAGCTTAGCAGCAGCAGGCAACCAGATTCTTCCCCAAGGCTGCAGCCACCTCATTAGCTCATTTCATAAGTAAAAATCTAGCCTTGCTTTTT